CCCTCCTCTGGACATGTCAAAACCACCGTCCCTCCTCTGGACATGTCCAAACCATCTCAGTCTGGCCTCTCTAACTTTATCTACCAGTTGCTCAACCTGTGCTGTACCTCTGATGATCTCGTTCCTAATCTTATCCATCCTTGTCACTCATAAGGGAACCTCAATTTCTTCATTTCTGCTACTTCCAGTTCCGTCTGTCTTTTTGTCCATGTCTCTGTCTCCAGACCATACAACATAGCTGGTCTCACCATTGTCTTGTAAATGTTTCCTTTGAACTTTGCTTCCACTCTTTTGTTGCAAATCACCCCTGAAACTTTTCCCCATCCACTCTATCCTGCCTGGACTCTCTTCTTCACCCCTTAACCATACTCCCCATTTTCTTGGGCAGTGGACCCCAAGTACTTGAAGTCCTGCACCTTTGTAGCCTCTGCTCCTTGTAGCCTCACTGTTCCACTGGCCTCCCTCTCATTCACACACACAGTCTTATTACAGCTGACTTTAATTCCTCTTTTTGCAAGTGCATATCTCCACCTTTCCAAGTTCTCTTCCACCCGTTTCCTGTTCTCAACACAGATCACAATACCATCTGCAAACATCATAGTCCACGAGGATTCCTGCCTGACCTAATCCGTTAAGTCCGTCTCTGTTACCAGAGAAAACAAGGAGCTCAGAACCAATCCTTGATGCACTCCCACCTTGACCTTGAAGCCATCTGTCATGCCTACAGCACATCTGTATCACCACTGTCCCGCTGTCCTCACATGTCCTGCTGTCCTCATACATGTCCTGTACCAGTCTTAATATGTCCTGCTGTCCTCCTGTCATTTTCTTTTTCTAAATCCACAAAGACGCAGGGAAGTTATTTCTGACCCTCTCTGTACTTCATCAGCATTCTCAAAGCAAATATGGCATCTGTGGTGCTCTTTCTTGGCATAAAACCATAATGCTGCTCACAAATAGTCACCTCTCGTTTAAGTCTACCTTTCGCAGCTCTTTTAGATCTGAATTGTGTGGCTCAACTTCCCCTGTAGTTGCTACAACTCTGTACATCACCCTTGTTCTTAAAAATGGGCACCAGCACACTATTTCTCCATTCCTTAGGCATTTTCTCACCCTCAAATATGCAATTGAATATTTGAGTCAAAAACCTCACTGCCATCTCTCCAAGACATTTCTAAACCTCTACTCGTATGTCATCAGGTTCCACTGCCTTTCCCATCTTCATTCATATTCAGAGCTTTCCTACTTCACCCTCACTAATCTTTCCCACTACCTGGTCCACAGTTATATGACCTCTACTGTTTGTCCCCTTTCATTCTCTTCATTAATTAGCTCCTCAAAGTACTCCCATCACACTCCTCACTCGTTAGAACATTACCATTCCTATAACAAGCCTAACCTGCGGCACATCCTTTCCAGCCAGATACCTCTGACAGGTCAAAATGTCATGACATGTCTGACCTCTTGACACCATGTGTTGTCATCAATTGGTACAAGTCCTTCTCCCCCTTTAGTGTTCAGCCTCCCATACAACTCACTATATGCCTTCTGCTTTGCCTTAGCCACCTCCGTCTTTGCTCTACATTGCATCTCCTTAAATTTCTGTCTCCTCTCTTTAGTCCTCTCACAGTCATTTCTTTTTGGCTAACCTCTCTCTTTGAATATCTTCCTGCACTTCATTATTCCACAACCAGGTTTCCGTACCCATTCGCTGTCCAGCTGACACACCAAATACCTTCCTACCCGTCTCTAATTACGGTTGATGTAGTAGCCCAGTTATCTGGAAGCTCTTTCTTACCACCCAGAGCCTTTAACAGCTCCTCTCTGAATTTCTCAAAATTCTTCCTTCTTCAGATTCCACCATTTGCTCTTCTCTGATATTAATGTTTTTCCCTTCTTCACAACAACAGTCATTCTACACATAAATATCCAATGCTGTCTGGCCACACTCTCCTCTGCCACAACCTCACAGTCCCCAATCTCCCTCAGGTTTCCTCTTCTACACAGAATGTAGTCTACCTGCGTACTCCTGCCTCCACTCTTATAGGTCACCATGTTCCTCCTTTTGGAAGTAGGTGTTTACTACAGCCATTTCCATTCTCTTGACAAAATCCACCATCATCTGTCTTCCTGGTTTCTTTCCTTGACACCAAACCTACCCATCACTTCCTCATCCCCTCCGTTTTCTTCACCAACATGTCCATTCAGGTCTGCTCCGATCACCACCTTCTCCTCCCTGTTAATCCTCTCCACTTCCTCCAGATCCTTCCAAAATTGATCTTTCTCCTCCACATCATATCCAACCTGTGGAGCATAAATACTGACAAAATTTAGCATCAAACCAACTTCTACCTTCAGACACATCAGCCTATATGACACTTTGTTCACCTCTACTACATTCTTTGTCAACTCCTCCTTCAGGACCACCGCTACTCCTTTTCTCTTTCTATCCACACCATGGGAAAACAGTTTAAACCCTGCTCCAATGATGCAAGCCTTGATGCCCTTCCACTCAGTCTCTTGGACACATGAAACATCTACCTTCCTTCTCTGTATCATGTCAGCCAGCTCTCTACCTTTGCCTGTCATTATCCCCACATTTAGAGTTGTCACCCTCAGTTCTACAGTCATTACTTTCCTCTTCTCCCTCAGTCTCCTGACATGTTTCCACCCCCGTGGTCTTTGACCAACACTAACAATTTCTGCTGGCACCCCGTTTGTCAACAGTATTGGTGGTGGTTGTTAATCCAGACCTCAACCGATGTTGTCACTTAGATGAACTCGCATTATAGTTTTGGCAAAAGTGTTTTATGTCGGATGCCCTTCCTGACAACTCTCATCCTTTACCCAAGCTTGGGACCGGGACAAGCGGTACACTGGCTTGTGTTCCTTCGTGGCTGGTTTAACCAGCCAATAGAAAGTTTTAGGGAAGCACTTTAATCACTGAATCTACATGTACAATTTCTGAACTTGTGAGTCATTGTCTTGTAGGTCCACTCCTGGACGTGGATTCAGAAACCTTCAGCTTCAAAGAGAAACAGGACTGTTGTAGAAAAGCTGCTGGCCATGTAAATTGGTCTTTAACTGGGCAAAAAGTATTGATCAATGTTTGCAAGCAGATATGGGTCACTCCGTCAGGACTTTGGGGTCAGAGGTTAGACTACAAGTCCGTGACGAACTTCACTGGAATCAATATTGATGACTGGAAAATTCACGACTTGTCAAATGAGCACCTGATCTATGGTGGCTGTAATATATTGTTGAGCACACAAAATAAATAAATGAAAGTGAGGAAGAGTAGGAGTCTTACCCAGCTTTCCTCGAAGTTTGACCAGTTCCTGTGAGACCTCCCTGCACTTCCTGGAGGCTTTATCATGCTGCAAAGATCAATGTAGTTCAGATTCTAACATCTGGAAATTTAGTTCAAACAGAACAAAAAGCCACACTGACATTACAAATAAAAATTAAAACTAGAAATGTGAGCGGGGATCACCGTGGCCCAAGATACTGATGCATGCCTACCCTGGCTCATCTCCAGAACTAACATGACGAGGAGACAACAGAAGGTCTACATGAGGACAGTCTCAGTTGCCAAAGTCAAAATATTACTTTAAGCTTTTCTCTCTTTAGGAGTCTCCACAGCAAGTCCTCCTCCATCTCTGTCCTCACTCCAACTACGTCCACGTCCTCTCTAACTGCATCCAGAAATCTTTTGTCTTTTTCTTCCTTTCTGGGAAGATGGCACCTGTGTACATGGCTTGCTATCCACCTCTAACCACACGCTCCCCCCCCCCCCCATTTCTCATCTGCGACATAAACACTCTGCTGGTACATGAACATCAGCAACTTCTGGATCTTTGACCATCTTCCACCAACCTCGCTTATTTTGACCACTATGAGCAAAGATCTGGACCCCCCCACCCCCCCCTGCAGACGGACATGCCCGTTTACCTGCAGTATGCTGCACAACTGCCTGCTTGGAGACAATACTCCAAATGCCGGGGAAAACGCACTGACCGGCTGATGAAAATTAAAGCCTATTTGGCACTTTCTGCTGCAGTCTCTCTAGCTCAGGGATGTCAAACCCACTTACAAAAGGGGGTCAAAATTAAAACCTTTTTCAAACTAAGGGCCATTTTCAGAATCTACATGAACTCAAGTTAGACACCCAACATATTTTCTTGGCTGCAGGTTCCTAAACAAATCTTTGATTGGTCTCATTTGACGTTCTTTGATTATGATGTCAAAAGTGCAAAGATTACTGAAAAAAAGTGATAAAAATATTTTACAATTGAAATAGCATCTTGGGGGCCAGATAAGATTTCAACGAGGGCCACATTTGGCCCCTGGGCCTCGAGTTTGACACACATGCTCTAGCTGATCGTCAGCGTTTCCATCATCGTTCCTGGCGCTTCAACAATCCTATGGTGCATTGTCCGGTCCCATTGGCAGGGTCCGATCCTCATACTAGGCCCGTTTGCGGCTGTGTTCCAAGCCTGCTAAATGGGTTGAACTCTAAATTTGAGACTGCTGGCCTGGACTCCGCAGGCATCTCCTCGAACTGTCATTTCTACAAGGATGGCTCTGATAAATGCTAGACCGCTGGATAACAAAACTTTTATTTTAAATGACTTTTTGCTCCAGTAGACTGAACTTTCTTTTTGTCACAAACTTGGATCTGCTCTGGTGAGTTTAGAGATTTTTTGGAATTATTGCCTCTGGATTGCTTTTTTTCCCCAGTGCTCTAAAGGACAACTACTTGGGGTGGAAGATTACCGACTGTGTTTAAGAAACATTTGAACTTCAGACAGCTCCAAGAATCAGCTAATTATTCGAGTTTCAAACTGCTCTGTTGTGAGCTAAGCCCAGTATCTGGTTCTGTGTGTTGTACTTTGTAAACCACCCCAATAAGAGTTTCTGAATGAACTCGACTTTTTAGCTGGTATATTGCTCAGATAGGACAGTGTTTTAATTGTGGTTGATTTCAGTATCCACGTCTGTTGCCCTGATAAGCCATTAGCTCAGGAGTTTTTAGATCTTATTCAGTTTTTTTTTTTTTTTTGTGCAGTTTTGTGGGCCCTACCCATCAGCAAGGTCATACACTTGACTTAGTTTAAAAATATGGTTTATCTGTCTTTTTTCTTTTTTTTACCCTTTATACAGGTAGTTTCATTGAGTCATGAGAACTCATTTTCAAGAGAGACCCGTTTTTGGGAGCAAATGCTGGGGGTTAAGGGCCTTGCTCAGGGGCCCAGAGCAGGGCAAATGAGGGTGGAGGCAAGTGTTTTCCACCCACATTTTGATGTTGACAGTGTATACCGGGAGTTGAACCTGCTACTTTACGATCACAGGCCCATGCATCTTCTCTAACCTCTGCACCACCATTCCACACCACTTTAATTTAGAAATTGGGGGCACAGATTTTCTGACCACAAACCTGTTTTATTCAACACCTCTTTGGTCTGTGAATCTACATCTCCTGCTCCAGCCAGTTCTTGTCAGATTTTTAACCGCTTTCTTCTCCTCCACTTTTGTCACCAATTTTGTTACAGACTCTGGATCCTCTGTGTGTCTTACTACAAATAAGTTGCTATCTCAGCATCAGGAGACCTGTGTAAAGATTTCAGATTTAGTTGCCCCATTAAAAGTCAGGAAATCAAAAACCAAACCCCACCCTTTGTTAAATGAGACCTCCCAAGCAGCCAGATGTCAGCACAGGAAATATGAGCGTAAATGGAATAAGGACAAACTTCAGATTTCTTTTGTTATTGTAAAAATGTGTTTGAAAGCATATCCGACCACCGTTAATCAGAGACACAAATTTCTCCCACATTGCCTTAAATTGTCACAATCCCTGTGTTCTTTTTAACATCATAAACTCCATTTTCAACATGCCTCAGTCTACCAACGTGGAGGCTTCCGTAGATACTTGTAATAATTTTGTCAGGCATTTTGTTGAAAAGGACGAGTCGATTAAGTCATCGATTCCACACTCCACAGCTCACCCCTCTGTCTTTGTCCCCTGCTCAGCAGTCTTTAGTCAGTTTCAACATATTTCCTTAATTTTTCTAACCTACAAAGCTCTCAACAGCCTAGCTCCATCTTGTATTTGAGATCTTATAGTTCCATATTTTCCTAACAGAGCACTTTGCTCTCAGACTGCAGGCTTTTTCACAGTCCCTAGAGTTTCCAAAAGCAAAACGGGAGGAAGATCTTTCAGTTATTAGGCTCCTCTCATTGGGAACCAACTTCCCATTTCTGTCCGCAAGGCTGACACATTGTTCAGTTTTAAGACTGGACTTAAGACTTTTCTTTTTGATAAATCCTATAATTATGGTTGGCTTATTATGCTGCCATAGGCTTCTACTACTAGAGGACAAACAGACCTAATTTCCTTAAATTATTTACTAAAATTGAATAGTTTTCATTTAACACCATTTTTGTCTTGACATGTGATTCTTGACCTGCCATTGTGTATCTGTTCCTACCAAACCCAGCCGGTCGAAGCAGACGGCCGCTTGTCCTGAGCCTGGTTCTGCTAAAGATTTTTCCTTGCGAGGGAGTTTTTCCCCTTTCCACCGTCAGCGTCAGAGTTTTTGTCATACACACCACCACATGTGGTGGAACGAAACTGTTCACAGGGTCCCCGTTACACCCAACAAAAGTACAAAATGGAAAAGAAAAACAGCAACAAGATCTAAGATAAGAACTTTTAAAAAAATTACTCTGCACCCAATCAAACTCAGAGGAGCTGAGTAGGACAAGAAAAGAGCTGGTTGCTGGTATTAAGAGGGCCAAGGCCACATATGCAAAGAGGATCGAGGGTCAATTCATCTCACAAGACCCTCGGAGCATGTGGAGGGGCATTAAGTGCATAACAGATTATAAAGGAAGGAGTGAACAATGTCCCAAAGACCCATCTCTGCCTGATGCCCTCAACAAGTTCTATGCACGCTTTGAAGACCCAAACAGACCACCCAGCACCAGACTCACCTCACCACCGGATGAAGAGCATCTCAGCGTGACCTCAGCAGAAGTAAGGAGTACCTTCAGGAGGATTAATCCGCACAAAGCAACTGGCCCAGACAACATCCCCGGAAAAGTGTTGAAGGAATGTGCTGATCAGCTCTGTGAGGTGCTGGCAGACATCTTTAACACCTCACTTACCCTGGAGACAGTTCCCACCTGCCTGAAGACTGCCACCATCATCCCAGTCCCAAAAAGCTCTACAGTGACTGGTCTGAATGACTATCGGCCAGTGGCCCTCACCCCGATAGTCGCTAAATGCTTCGAAAAACTGGTCATGACTCACATCAAAACAACCATCAACATCAACGAGGACCCTCATCAGTATGCATACCGTGAGAACCGATCAACAGAGGATGCAATCTCCTCTGTGGTCCATACTGCACTCAACCACCTGGAGCAGAAAAACTCTTACGTCCGTATGCTCTTTGTGGACTTCACATCCGCCTTCAACACCATGATCCCCCAAACCCTGATGGACAAACTATCCACACTAGGACTAAGCCCCTCCATCTGCAACTGGGTACTAGACTTTTTAACAAACAGACCACAGTTAGTGAGGATCCACAACCTCTCCTCCTCCACCATAACCCTCAGCACTGGCTCTCCTCAGGGATGTGTGTTGAGCCCCCTCCTGTTTACTCTGCTCACATATGATTGTGCAGCTACCCATCCAGGCTGTCACATTGTAAAGTTTGCAGATGATACAGCGGTGGTGGGATGCATCACAAACAATGATGAGTCCAGCTACAGGCAGGAGGTGGAACACCTGGAGAGCTGGTGCAGAGAGAATAACCTTCACATCAATGTGAAGAAGACAAAGGAGATGATTGTGGACTTCAGAAGGAACAAAAACACCTACACCCCCCTGAACATAAGAGGATCTGCGGTGGAAGTGGTCTCCAGCTACAAGTACTTGGGTGTACACATGAATGACAACCTCAGCTGGAGCAACAACACCACCAGCCTGATCAAGAAAGCTCATCAGAGACTCTACTTCCTCAGACGGCTGAGGCGAGCTGGTCTGGGAAGCTCAGTCCTCACCTCCTTCTACAGGTGTGCAGTGGAGAGCATCCTGTGCTCGAGCATCAATGTGTGGCATGGAGGCTGCACAGCTGCAGAAAGAAAAGCTTTGCAGAGAGTGGTGAAGGCTGCACAGAAATCTGTCGGAATCAGTCTCCCCACCATCACAGACATCTACACCTCCAGATGCAGGAAGAGGGCCACCTGCATCATGAAGGACCCCACCCACCCAGCACACACACTTTTTGCCCCACTCCCCTCAGGAAGGAGGTTAAGGAGCATTAAGTGTAGAACCACTAGACTGAGGAACAGCTTCTACCCTGAGGCT